GGATCTCAACCTCAAGCATCAAAAAAAAAAAGATCTCTTGCACTCATCTACACCCCACACATCGATCTCTTCAACAATAGGTCTTTTCTTCTTTCTCAGCTATCACATCCCTCGGGCCACGATACACCTCCACTCCTATCCAATTTCTCTCATCGTTGCATCGCGGGACAGCCACCTCTGGACAATATGTCCTTATAGCTGTGTAAACGTTACATCTCCCTGGGTGACGTCAATTGCGTACCAGTCTACAACAATCCCTCTGTTTTCCCTCTGAACTTTTATGCTCACGTATTTTGGTGGCTTGGTCGCCATGTTGGAATTCCCGGCAACACTATACGCATGTACAGAAGATCATTTACGACATAACTGATACGTTTTGAGGTAGTCCAAAACGAGTTTTACGAAAAGCCGGCGTTTTGCAACAATATGAGTTGGCAAGTTCCAGACTGAAAACCAATCTGTGGAGACTCGTCGTAGGAGATTTTTTTTTTTTTTTTTTTTTTTTTTTTTTTTGAGAACAGGCGAAAACTAATGCGCGCGTGGATGTCATCCATAAAATTAAGTCGGTGTGGCCTAAACTCTAAGTTTGTACTTGTTGATCTGCACAACACTCAAAGTCATCATCATTTTTTATACGAGACCCACATCATGTGTGCATGGCGCTACGACTACCGCCCTTTAAGCAAATTAATTCAAACTTATAGTAAACAACATTATTCAACTGTTGGATATGACACAATTAGTCGCAGGACTTGTGCACTGTTAAAATATTTGTTAAGACAAAAATGTACTTTTTTGGGGGCTGTACAGGCAACAACTTTGGTATTGTAAACTATACTACCAACATGCCTGGAATGATTTCACAATTAAGCAATTATTTCTATATGTTTCTATTGTATAAATTGAATCTTTTTTATTGTTTGTAGAAATATGTGAAAACACAGATAAATCCAATGTATAACAGACTAGGATGGAACCTGACAACCCAAGACCATATAGAATTGGATATGACACAATTAGTCGCAGGACTTGTGCACTGTTAAAATATTTGTTAAGACAAAAATGTACTTTTTTGGGGGCTGTACAGGCAACAACTTTGGTATTGTAAACTATACTACCAACATGCCTGGAATGATTTCACAATTAAGCAATTATTTCTATATGTTTCTATTGTATAAATTGAATCTTTTTTATTGTTTGTAGAAATATGTGAAAACACAGATAAATCCAATGTATAACAGACTAGGATGGAACCTGACAACCCAAGACCATATAGAATTGTAAGTAACCCTTTGGTTTCTTTTTTCCAAGGTTGTAACTTTCACCACCTTGCTTAGTAAATCCCAGGTGTGAGTCATTGTATGTGACAAGCTCTCATTGGACTAGGGAATTCTACCGTATTGACTGACAGATTATAATTGCTCCCACACTTGCACTTGCTTTATTTCTAAAAATCCAACAAGGAGATCATTGCCAACTTTGATTAAGAATTACAAAACAATCAAAGGTATAATTATGATCTCCAAATCGATTAAGTATCTTTAGCTGTGAAATGCATGTGTTGAAAAGTTGGGCTGTCTCCAAATAAGGATATTTATTTCTAGTGAAATTTTTACAGCGTGATTATCTGTTTTTTCAGAACAATACATCTTGAAAGGTTCCAGTCAATTTCACTGAATTTTGCTCATTGAGTTTGTTACATTTGTATGCCATTTACTAAATTGTCCATTAATCAGTTGTTTTTCACTCATGTAAAACATCTTGGGAGTTGCATGAAAGACACTGTAAGCTGTCCAACACAATATTTGAATAAATTATAAACAATACCCTAGACAACTGGTTGTATAGATTCGCTGTGTCATGGATTGTGTTATCTCACTACCTTTGGTTCATGGATAATACTCAACCATAAGTGTTTTTCCATTAATGTCAACATCAAATACTATTGTTGATTTACACATATACATTTACCATAATCATTATATGCCAGTGTGTATATCTTCCTTCACAGCCACAATGTTGCATTGTCCATCAGACTTGCCTGTTACTATGGCAACAGAGAATGTATTGTTGAAGCCCAAAAGAAGTTCTCTAATTGGAAGCTTAATCCTGATATGAATAGGTAAACATCTGAAGGGAGAGTTTACTCCTGATCTGGTGTAGATGTAGTGTTAACAAATGTTGTAACCATGACACCTATAGGAATGAATGGGGAAATGTTATTTCTTATTACATAAAACTACTGGTGACAAACTAACAGTTCCCTCACATATTACCGGTATAGTAATGTATGAACATTTTGTCATCATTCACAAAAAGTATATTATGTATTTTTTCATAATTTTTAATGAAGACCTGTAGCTAATGAAAAATCAAATTTGTTTAGGTCAACATTATCAAATGAATTATAAAAAAAATATTAAAACTGTCCAAAACTTGAAATCAAATTTGATGAAAATGTCAAAGTGGCTATTAAGATAATTACTTACCTTATGATATATTTACCTTATGATACTTTGTTCTGATTAACATAATGAGCACTTTCATACACAGTTTAACTTTCTTTGTAACTAGTATGGTATTTCATTTCAGGATCACAGAAGATGTTCGGGCCACAGTTCTCTGCATTGGTTTGATGTACGGTGATGAAGAAGACTGGCAATCTGTCTTCTCATTTTTGCAAAAAACAAACGATGACCGATTATCAGCTGACCTTAAGCAGGGTTTAGCTTGCAGTCGGTTGCCATGGGTTTTGCAGAATTATATGGAAGAGTATCTTGATAGGAAAGAAATCGTTAATGTCGTGAGTAAAATAAGAGATACATCGACTGTAGGATTCCTCTTAGCATGGGATTTCATGGTTCAACACTTTGATAAACTGAAAGAAATGTAAGTATATGAAGTTAATAATAATAGTAATATATGAAGTTAACCTTTAAAATTATAGGTTGAGTTGGTTCACAAGATCTGTTCTAAGTAAAAATGTTGTTATTATTATATAAAACGTGTTACCCCCCCCCCCCTCCAATTCCTCTCTGAGTAATAGTTGTTATTATGTGTTTTTATTGTGCAGAGATTATTACCATGAGTTCACTAGAACTCTGTAGTGTTGAGTGGTAGCAGTGTGCAACGTTGAAGTGCATTGGCTACTTTCGGCATTATGTTCAACAATTCTTGAAAAAAAATCACTGAATATTCGTTTCATAGGAAACAATGATAAATGCTCTAAAACAGACAAAATTTTCGCTCTATTTTGTACATTGATTTTTTTTTTCCAAACCAAGTACTAACCCCATATTTTTTTACAATTTTTGTCATCCTCGTGACACAAAATATCATTTATGTTAAAATAAAGAAAATGACAATATTTTTATTTTTGTATATTATTCATATTGCTATTAATTTATAAAATAAATTGTATTTGCAAGGATGCAATAAAGATATTATTATTAGTTAATATTTGAGAGAAAATTACTTTTCTCTAGACAGTGCTCATTGTTATAGCAATTGTTGGAAATTGATTTATATTTAATTTTTTGTACATTATTTGCAGCCATGGTGATAAGATTTATGACCTAGTATGGGGATTTTCAGATACTATGAACACACTGGCAGATAAAGACAAGGTTTGTACTTATATACAGATCATATACAAAGTCAGACCTAAGTTTTTATGGAAAAGACACTGCTTGGTACTATCACTTGATGTACATGATATATGGGTAAAACTACAAGAATATTCAATATTAAAACAAATGTCTGAAAAGTGGTTTACCCTGGACCCACACACTGAGAATCCTGCCTCCCATAATTATATATACTCTCCATGAAATATAACTGGGTATGAGGTAAAATGTCCAGGTCTCTTAACGTTTGTTCACACTTTTAACAAAATTATAGCTCCATGATGTACCCAATTGTGTCTTGGGGGTCAAATTGATGTCATGTGAATCATCTCATTACTGCATGAATTATGATTCTTGATTGGCCAAGAGATTTGAACAATGAAAAAAATTATTATTTTAATAAATTATATTAGTACCGTCACCAATGATTAACAAATTATTGTATTTTTCTTTCAGTATGATGATTTTGGTAGGAAGTACAACACAATGCCGAATGATAATGCTATTGGTTTTTACAAGGGTCTAAGGAAGATCAACACAAATATTGAATGGATGGATAAAAATTATGACGATATTGTCAATTTTCTCAACAATAAATTAATTTAATTTGGGTTGGTAGATATTATCAGCGTACATGGTTAGGGCTTGCTAATATTTACACTTTTTATGGCTTTGTGATATAGTATACTGTAAAATACTTTATTTCCAGTTGGAATTTATTGTCGCTATATACCTTTTTTTCTATATTTCACATTCAACTCATCAAAAATCAGTGAAAATAATTTCCATACATAACACGTAAAAAGCCCTTTCATCAAAAATTTATTCCAGCTTTAATAAAGTATTTTACAGTTATGAATTTAATTCTCACTGCTGGAAATATTCATGATTTTTGTGAAGACAAAATTGATTTTCTCTGATTTGCAAAACTCGCAAAAATGTGTATTGAAATTTAAGTGGTTTACAGTATGCATACATAAAATAATGAGAATATTTTGTTATGGCTTAAAACTGTTTAATAATTTTGCATCTTTTAAACAAAATTGTGATGTTGCTATACTATGCCAAAAACTGCCAATTTAATAACAAAATAAATATTTTAGATTATCGGTATGCTGATGATGCAATAATAGAAGTGCTTGTAATATAATTAAGAAGTGCGTACCAAAAATTAACATATATTTTGCATATCTCTGAATGTTTACATTATTGAACCTGACTTTATAGATACATTGTATTAAGACACTGATTTTTACATTATTGTGATGTACTTGACTGCGTGTATGATGTATTTAACTGTATGCATGAGCAAAGTTATGGTGTTGGGGTACATTTATTGATGAACATTACAATCATAATGAAAGCAGCACTACTTGTGTTGAATAGTTTGCATTTTAGATTGCAGTTCAATTAGCAAGTATTGTTCTTTACAAATTTCATATTTTGAAAAATGGCAGCCATTTTGAATATCACCATAGCTTTGAAGACTGCCGAAATTGTGACACTTTTTGATGAAAATTAGTGACCTCTGATATTTTTTTTTTTGTATTTCAAAATAGATTGTTTTATATGCACTCAAATTTGAATACTCGCACAATCAAGGATAGTAATTGTTATCATTTTTAGACATTTTTACTTCCTGGACTGTTTATTTATAATACATCAAGAAAGAACAATTTAGGATTTCAAAATGATACCGTCAACATACCGGTACTTTTCATCAAAATTATATTGCCTACAATATTGTGATAGTGGCACATATCTCAATTGATAGTACATAGTAATGTTAAACAATGATAAACAAAAACAGACTTGGCTAGTTTTATTTGTACGTATATTTTTTAATATCAGTTAACGAATCGGAGATACCTGATTTAGTATAAATGTATCTTTTGCTTACAGTACTATTTTATTACCGCATTTGTCTATATTGAAGAATTATTTTGCAATAGTAGGAATAGTGTATTTAGTGTGAATGGTGATTTAATAAATTATTAATCAAAATTATTTTGTAATCGTCATAGTTAATCTTCAATCTTAAATAAAAGACACATTTTTCTGTGGGTATTTCACATCTGCTAACAACACAGTGAGATTGGTGAAAGATCTTTCAATGCATCCAAGTTTGCTGATAGTCGATAGAAGGGAATTTTTTTCTGAGGTCTATTGGTACACCCAAAAGCCACAATATCATTTGTTCAAGCTTACATTACACCCTAAACGATATGCGGTAAAAGTATAACTTTGGCTTCGGAAGTGGTCTATCGAGTGGGGCATGTGTTCCAAATTCCATGTTTCTATCCCAAATAAAGGGTGCTATTAAATTGGCACTATTGGTATGTCGCATACGACTTATTTACCACTTCCGTGTCACTGAGAATGTTCTAGAACTGTACTGTGTCTGGGTGGAATATTCTATATTTTTTTAGAAAATGGTTGAATAGGTAATAGAACACTGTAGGTGGCAATAGAAGGTAATGGAACATTCTAGAAATTTGTAGTAAGTTCCAGACTCATTATGTATGCTGATGTAATGGTCTATTTATAGACAGTGGGGGTATATATAGGGGAGTTGTTCAGCACCGAGTTCAGATCGGAGATCTCGTTGAATTGTATTGGAGTTTAAGTATCTAGTCATTGGAGTAGTGGAGTTTTACCGCGTTATTGTACTTGATGTTTGCAGAGTATAATAATACCAGTACTAGTTGAAACCTCATCTGTACGTGTCTTCATTTTCAGGTTAGTTCTTCTGCCGATTTCTCGCAACCAACAATGTGATTTTTATGTTGGATTTCGAGAAACATAACATGGATCGTTATGGCATTCATACGCACAACATTTC